AAAAGTGAAAAAATGTAAAAGCAAAAAAAAAAAAAAAAAGGGGATAGGGTGGCCAAAAATGCTTTTGCTTGGGGCGGCAAAAAGCCTAGAGCCAGCCCTGCTAGCTAAGCTCTAGGTCGCAGGAAGCCATCCCTTCACTGGATTTCAGGAAAAAGGAGCAGACTTGCCAAAGCCTAATGATAGCTGGAGCCTAATGATAGCTGGAGCGGGGTCAGGGTCCTGCAGTAATCCCACATCGGCTCCACCTTTGGCGGGCTCCCTCCAGACTACAGCAGCCCTCCGGGTCTCCCACAGGGATGGGGGCTAAGGACATTACACCCATGAGTGTAGGTGGAGGGGGTATTCTGGGCCTAGAACTTTGCATAGCTGCATCATTCTGAAGTTGCTGGATATTCACCAGACCTATTTACAGCCCTCTAGCTAACAGGGCTGGCTCTAGGCACTAGCAAATCAAGCACATGCTTGAGGCTGCACATTTCCAGGGGAAGCATTTCCAGGTAAGCAGCTGCCCCCGGCAATGCCTGGCCCCACCCCGCCAATTTTAAAGGGCTGCTGGAGCTCGGCTCTGGCTGCGGGCCCCCGGAAGCTCAGGCTCTGCTCCACCCCACTGGCTCCAGTCCTGACGCGGCCCCGGCCCCCATTGCCGGTGAGAGACTGCTCCCTGCCAGCCACCTGGCTTGCTGTGCCCACCCTAGTTCCCCATGCCGCCCTGCGCCCCGCACCCTGCTCCCATGCACCCCAGTCCCCCTGTTCCCTGTGACTCTCTGACTCTGCGCCACCCTTGTACCCTGCTCCCCCCAATCCCTGTGCCCCTCTGGCTCTGTGTTGCCCATTCCCTGCACTGCCCCTGCACTCTGGGTCCCTGTGCCCCTCTGGCTCTGTGCCCCCTCTGCACCCCACAGCCCCTTTTCCCTGTGCCCCTCTGGCTCTGCGCCTCCCTTTCCCCACAGTGAACCCTGCTCCCCCTGTTCCTCAGGCCCCTCTGGCTCTGCACTGTCTCTGCACCCTGCTCCCCCTGTGCGTTGGGAGTGAGGGGTGCTTGTCCATAGGGAGGGGCTGGACAGGGCAGGGAAAAGGCCGTTGTGACCCAGCAGTGAGTGAAAGCGGAAGGGGAGTTTACTTGAAGCGCCTTTGCCTTTATAGAAAAAAATAATTAAAATTATATTTGCTATTTATAGGGCTAAAATGCTGGGACAAAATTGAAAACGAAAACAAAAACAAAAAAACATTGCAAAGTGCAAACATGTAAAAGCCAAAAAAAAAAAAAAAAAGGGGATAGGGTGGCCAAAAATGCTTTTGCTTGGGGCGGCAAAAAGCCTAGAGCCAGCCCTGCTAGCTAAGCTCTAGGTCGCAGGAAGCCATCCCTTCACTGGATTTCAGGAAAAAGGAGCAGACTTGCCAAAGCCTAATGATAGCTGGAGCCTAATGATAGCTGGAGCGGGGTCAGGGTCCTGCAGTAATCCCACATCGGCTCCACCTTTGGCGGGCTCCCTCCAGACTACAGCAGCCCTCCGGGTCTCCCACAGGGATGGGGGATTACACAGAAAAGGTCACTTAGTGATTTGTTCCCTTCCTGAGCAAGACCTGAGTGGACCCACTTGGCCCTGCCCCTGGCCAACACAGCCCTCTCCCGTATGGACCATGCACTGCTCTGAACGCTGTCTGTGTGCAGCTGAGCACAGAGTGGGAATGATATGGGAGGATTCCCCCTCCATGAACTGACAAAGGGAGGGATACCCTGTGAATGAGCCTGCCTGGCCATACTTTGGGAAGAAATCCAAGATGTTGAGCTCTCTCCATGGTGTAGCTACAGAAAATCCCACCCTCCAGGGCTGCTGAATAGCTTGGGAGCTCCCTCTAAACCTAGAAACTGCCCAGCCACATTTCCAAGGGACTGCCCAGCAAAGCAATGAAGAGGGGGCCTATGCCCGCGTGCCACCTGTTTGATGATAAGGGTGAGGAAGAACTGAAAGTTTGTCTGGTTTTTTACATGAAAAACACAAGCATCATCTGTCCAAGCATTGGAGAGATAACAGCACGGTGGGGAGGGGAGATATAGTCAGACTGCCTGACACATTCTGGGCTGCATTTGCTTTTGTAGAGTCCTGTGTGACTCAAATGACTAACACACAGTTGAGGGAAAGGTAGTCTGGGTTAAAAATCCAAACCTGCCTCCCTCATTGCAAAAAGCTCCTGATTCACAGGTGAGCCCTGCCATGAGTCCTTCAGCAGAACTTGGGGAAGTCCAGCCCTGATGTTTGTAAGGACAGAAGCCATCACCCGGGTCAGAGAGGTGAGAGGGTGATGGAGGAACTGGAGAAGCAGAGAAGGACAGATGCCCACATCATGCTGGCCTGTGAACTGACCTTGTAGGTGCCATGTCGGGCTGGCTGTAGTTTGATGCCACATGTAGCCTGAGCTACAATGTCAGCTCGGGCAGGTCTCTGGCATGTGACTCGGGCAGGTCTCTGGCCTGGAACATGTATGCAATGTAGTCCTTGGCACTGGGGACTCTGGCAGGATATCCAGGCGGCTGGCCCCATCCAGGAGTGTTTCCTGCCCAGAGGGCTCCAGGCACTTACTGGCAGCACTGCCTCTGCCTACTTCCTTCACTTGGGGGCTTTCCCAGGAACAGAAATTTTGTTTTTAATATCCCAGCTTTTATCTTCTAGCAGCAGTAGGTTCCCTCCCCTTGCAGAGATAGACAGAGGCAGAGAGACCTCTCCTGCGCCAGCTGCGATCTCCACAGCAGACACCATGGGGAACTGCTTCACCACTCAGGTGAGTCCAAGGGCTCCTTTGCCCACCTCCACTGTCCTCTTAAATTAGCTTGGCTCCGGTAGGGAAGGTGAGGGGCTGAGAGCAAAGGCAGAGCATTGACTGGTGCAGGCACATGCTGGGTTACCGCTCCTTGCTCCTGAGAACAGCTGGTCGGGGCTTTCTGACCAACCAGAGTTTCACTGGGTTTAATTGGAATGGAGACTTTCCTGGGGAATGTCTTGGGGTCTGTGAAATTTTGTCCAGGAAGGTTTCTCAGCACCAGGATGGAATTGCTGGTCATAGCCAGACAGGGTCTTGCCCCATGCTCCTGGGATATGAGTCTGACCCTCAGTCCCACATCTCAACCTGAGCTATCAGGTCTCCCTCCAGCATGGTTTGTCAGAGCTACTCTGCTTAGTAGAAACAGGTAAGGCAGGGCTGATTGTGGAGCAGTGCACTGAGGGGAGCCCCAGGTGCAAGGCCCTGCTCCTACTCAGGTACGTTCTATAAATGTACATGAAAATTCACCCTCTTTTCCTTATTGTTCTGTGTCCCCTAGAAACTTAAGGGACCCCAAATTCTATAGGCTGTGTGACAGGGTGCCTGCCCTGCACTGGCCTTTTAAGGGCAAAACTCAGGCCCAGAGCAGAGGCTGAAAGCAAAGACTCAGCTGAGGCCGTTAGGGCTAATGAGAGCCCAGCTGGGGGCTATATAAAGAAGAACAGTTAGCTTCAGCAGGGAGAGAGCAGTGAAGAGCTGGCAGTGGGGGTGTGATGTAGTGGGGGTGCCTTGTTTGTTGCTATGCTGGGCAGTGGGCTATCTCTGCTGTCTGTAACAGGAGTCATTATGCAAAGGGGGCTTCAAACCTGTCTGACCAGCTACCCCCTATGGGGAGAAACAAAGGAAGGTGGAATGCTGCCCCTGGCTGGGGGGCAGGGCTGGAAGAGAGTTACTTAGTTTTCTGTCTGGGAGCATGGAGGAAGTAGCCTTGGCAACAGGCTGGGGGGTTTAGAAGCTGAGACCCCCCATATCAAGGGGGGCTGAGGCATCCTAGGCCTGTCCTGTAACCGGATGACATCTGTGCTGTGCTGTACCCTGGGGAGGCAATAAACTCCCTCTGTTCTACGGGCTGGTGGAGTCTGTTTGTGCCATTTTGGGGGTGCAGGAGATGGGGGAACCCCAATGTGTCGTCCCAGGAGGGAGAACAGTATTGGGGCAGCCAGGAAGGGCTAGGGGATTGCTGGCTAAGGGGCTCCCTGGCTGTATGGCTTGGGGCTCAGAGGGGGGGAGCAATGCAGCCCAGGTTAGTGGGCAGCAGAGATACACCCAGTGCTGGTGATGAGTGGCCCATACAGACTGCAGTTTGCCCTGTGATGGGCTAGATGAAGACAAGTGGTGGGTAACTGAGGCACTGTGAGGAGTACGCACCCTAACAGGCTGTGTAAGTTCTCTTCATTCTCATTAGCATTCCTATGGTTAAGATACCTGTTGGAAACAGATGTGCTTTTACAGCATTTTTAACATTTAAAATTCATCTTCTGGTTAAATTTTCACAATATTAGCACTTAGTTCTTCTTTTCCTATAAACTTAGGGCATCAGATTGTGCCTTGGTCGTTTGCTTATGTCAACATTTCTTATTTTCAAGGCCTAAAAAGAGAATAGTTAGACTGTGTTTCAGCCATTCTTACTTATTTTGAGGGAATCATGTATTAAACATACTGATCCAGCTTAGATTCTGTAAGCCAACAATCTGACTCTAACATACAATGAATATATAAACTATGACATGTTAATTAATCATAACTTCACACAATAAATGGATAATTAATTAAATGCCCAGCCCTGGGAACATGTCAGCTCTCCCTGCAGGAAGAGGAAGACACTGAAGAATTCCTTCCTCTAGTGAAAGTAAATCTAGATTCTCATCTGCAAGAGAGATAAGAAACTGTCTGCTGGCAGTTTCCTCCAAGAAAGTGAGTGTGTGGTGAATGCGGATGAGATAAAAATGAATCACATCCCACCGAACATGGGACGTTCCCTGCTCGCAGCCCTGGGCCATGCCCCTCTATCCCAACCCCCAGCTGTCCCAGTACTGGGCCTCTTCCGTCCCAGTGGTTTTCAAACTAGGGATTATGACCCAGGACTGGGTGATAGCATGCAAGGCACTGGGTCTCATTTCTGCAGGGTGATCAGGTGTCCAGTGGGGGGGGGGGGGGGGGCTCCGCCCCTTCTCTCGC